TCATGGAGGTCTAACCAAGAGCATCTGATCTAAATGCTTCCACCTGGAAGATCCAGAGAAGTTGGGACAGGCCTGAGTTATCAAGAAGAACTTCTGGAAAGCATGTTGACATCAAACTCTCTTGGGCATCTATTCTGACAATTAGACCTCCAGGGTTTTCAGATCTGACAACGTCTCTGGATCTCCTACACTGAAATGTTTCCAAGTGATATGGATTTATTTCAACAAACAAAAAAGGCACTGTCAATAAATGTAGCAATATATTTGGAAAAGTGAAGCTCCCAAGAAGTTCCAAGGAGACAAAGCAAACACTCACTGGAAAAGAGGAGAAACGTTGTAAAGCCATTTAAGGCAGTATATGGTTAAGTATCCAAATGATGCCCTCGAGGTGAGTGCAAAATGCATCTCAGACAGTTGTCTTGCAGGATATCTGAGGATACAAAGAGGAATATGAACCTTAAAATTACAGAGGGCCACTCCACCCTGGAAAAGTAGGGGAGTAAGAGACCACCAGCTAATTCATTGTCGTGTCCAGAGGAAGGGCAAAGTCATGAGCTGGGGTTGGGGCTGGGAATGATGGCATCTAAGAATTGTCAAGTGATGGCATGGGGAAATGTTACCAAGAGATTCACATTAACATCTTGCTTCAAAGACCCAGAGGATTAAATTTCAAGTGTGTGTGTGTGTGTGTGTGTGTGTGTGTGTGTGTGCATGCACGCATGCACACACATGCACACACACACATGTGTGTTGGTCAGGGAGAGGAGGCTTGAATGTCCTAAGTGCTGTTTCCTCCAGAGCTGAGTAGATGAACAACATTCTAGGTCTTTGAGTGTGGACTATAGTGCACTACTTGAAGTGTGGTCTCTGAAGTCACACAGAACTGGGATCAAAACCTGGTTCTGACCTTCACAAGCAGTGTGATATTGGGCAGGTTGTTTAACCTCCATGACAGTCGGTCTCTTCAGCTGAGGGTGGAACATAATAGTGCCTTCTCAGAATCTGGATACAGACTTACTGAACTGACCCATAGAAAGAGGTCGTGCATAGTAAGCACTCAGTAAATAAATACAGGGTATGGTAGTTAAACTTTCTTGTTAAATGACTAGTATGTGTAAAAAGGGGTTTTGGCTTATGTAAATGGGGTATCAGAGGAGAGAAATTAATTTCAAGCATGGATCCAGAAGGTTAACAATACCATCAGGTCTCTGTCTTTGTCTCTCTTTCTCTCTCTCTACCTCTACCTCTGTCTGTCTGTCTCTCTCCCTCTCTCCTAACCGCCCCCCCCCCTTCATCTTCTCTGACTTCTGGGCCTCCTTATCAGGCACATTTTCTATACATAATAGTAAAGGTGTTCTCTGTTACATCCATGTATATCTAGTACATAGTGATACCATTTTTAAAAGTTTTACTTTTATCACAGTTGTATCACATGCACACAATTTCAAGGATGAAATAGTTCTTTTTCTTAATGTTTATTTATTTTTGAGAGACAGAGAGAGAGAGAGAGAGAGAGAGAGAGAAGCAGTCTCTGCGCTAACAGCAGAGAGCCCGATGTGGGACTTGAACTCACAAACCATGAGATCGTGACCTGAGCCAAAGTCGGGTGCTCAACCAACTGAGCGACTCAGGAGCCCCAAGGATGGAATAGTTATAAGGTGAAATTCTGTGAAAACAGCATTTTGTACCTCTTATTCCATTGTCTGTCTGAGTCATCGCTTTCAAACTTTCTGGCTGATTGTCTTTCTATTTATCTCTCAATAATATGACTGATTTTGATTTTTTATTTTTGAGCATTATAGCTTGAATTCTGTCTATACAAGTTAGGCAATTCACCGCATGACAGATATCATTTCTAACACCTAGCTCCCAATTTAGGTAAACTACCCCTTGGTTAGACCATTATTCAATAATTACATTATTGTGACTATGCAAGTGATACTTTCCATTGAGTCAAGTAGTTAACTGTGACTACTTTTGTTTCCTACATATCTTTGTTTTCATTGGAACGAATATCTTTTTCTGTACTTTTGATTTATTTTCCTTTTTCTTTACTTTTCTTCAGATTTGTCACTAAGTCAACCCCAAATTCCTCTGTTGCCTAGTTCTTCTCTCAAGACATACAGCTATTCTTCGGCTTTCATCTTAAGAAATATCTCCCAGAATCTTCTAGCACACACCAGTATGGACTTTGTGCCCTTCAAGCCTGGTGTGCAGGTCTCACTGGGGATCTGTTCTTACCATCATCCTGGGAATTTTCTTCCTTTGTCTCCTGTATTGATCTCCTGTTACATGTGTCTCTCACATTTTCTTCTTTATAGGTGCATATGCTTATTTTTTGGTGGAGATATCCTGCAGTGCTTCCTGACAAAGGGAATGAGGGAAGTGTAATTTGGAGATCTTGAAAATGTTTGTTACAGTCTTTCACTGAAGGGATAGTTTCGTTGGGAATTAATTCTAGATTGGCTATCATTTTTCTCCAGAATTTTGAAGGCATTGCTCTATTCTCTTCCTAGGTCTCAGTGTTATTTTTGAGATTTCCAAAGTATTTCCAGCATCTGAATCTTTGTAGGTAATTTGAAAGCTTATAGGATGCAAATTGTTGAAATTTTATGATAATGTATCTTGGTATGGTTCGAATTTGTCCATAGTGCCAGACACTTGATGAGTCCTTCCATCCTGAAAGTCAATATCTTTTGTTAGGGGAAATGTTCTTGAATTTCTTTATTGATGATTCCCTCTCCTCTCATTTTTTCCCTGTTTTCTTTTCTAGAATTTTATTATTTATAGGTTAGAACTGCTGGGTGGGCACTCTTCCTTAATTATCTTAATTTTTCTCCTTGTTTTGTTTTTTTTTTTTTCTGTGAAGTCTTGGAGATTTATGCAACCCTATCTTTCAATCCTTCTACTGAGTTTTTTATTTTTAATAGTTTTAATTTTCATGAGCTCCTTTTTGTCCTGCAAATGATTTGCTTTATATAGCATTATGTTTTTATTTTATAGATACAATATCTTCTCTTCTCTTTGGAATAATATTAGTTTTATTCATTTATTTGTTTTTAAGTTTTCTTCTCTTGTTTTCTCTCTGTTTCCTTCAAGTTACTTTTACTTCCTGTTTGTTGGTTTCTATCTTTCAAGGTAAAACACTGTTGCTACAGACTTCTCTCCCATTTTCTTTGTTCTTACCAGTTCTGCCTTTATAAGTGTCCTGTACTCATTTCAGTTCCATCTCTGAGTTGTCTGTTTGTGTTAAGATTGACGGGTTAAAACATCCATAAATGTGTGTGTTATTGGGTACTGTCAGCCTTAGACGTTAGTGAATTTCACTGGGCTGGACTGCTTTTAGGAAGGAATGCTGATGTCTGTACCTCTAGGTTTTTCATCTTGAGCTGGGCAGATTCCGCATTCCATTCACTTGTCTTGAGAGTAAAGACACATCTAACCATGTGCAGGAGTTGTGCCAAGAAGAGACTCTGACCGTAACACTTGTTCAACCTCTGTTTTCAGAAGAGTACCCCCTAACACCACTACACCTGATTCCCTCATTCAGGAGGCACTCTGCTTTACCATTTCCTTAGAATAGACCTATATTCCTCTGCCAGAGCAGAAGTTGTCTGGACATGGGAAGTGGAGAGATGTGAGATTGAACTGATTGTTAAACTTCAAGCCGATCCTTTTTGTTTTCGTGCTGCCTTCACCACATCCAAATAACTGGCTCCATGAATACTTGAGTGTTTGGAGGGTCTGTTACTCAACTATTTTCATAAGAACTTTTCTCAGTCTTAGTCAATTGCTCATCACTCAGCAAAACACCACTGCCATCATCTTCTCTCCCATTCCTTTTGTTCTTATGTGTTTATTTTAGCTGGGTTTAAAGAGATACCGAAAGGAAATGTGTGTGTTTAGTTTTTGGTGTTCTTAAAGCTCTTTAGCTCCCAACCTCCATATGATATCCCCCAAAAAGACTATGATAAATATGTTGGATCATATGCCCCTCCAAACTTGGCACTAATCCCTGTGATCTTTGTGCTCTTGAGGATCTGGGTCACCTGCTTTTCCTTGTGGTAGGCAAAAGGTGACTGTATGATCGACAATACATGAGAATCATACTGGTTGGCAGTTCCCTAAAGAAGGGGATGTAGCACTGACAAATAGGTAACACATGTCCCAGACACAGGGCGGCTTTGTCCTCCAAAAGGTGCTGATCTTGAGGAAGCAAGGATTTCCCTCGGTTGCTTTGTATTAAAAAAATGTTGGCTTCATCTCAGAAACACTAGTTATCCAAGCAGAGCACCTCCCTTGATGTTCTTCTCCATTGTAAGCCTCAGCAACATCTGTTCACACTTAGCACTCCTGAATCAATTTATTAATGTGGATGCCCATTGGTGTGCAGGGATAGCAAAGGCTTCTTGGAGAAATTCTAAGCCCTGGAGAGAAGAAGGAGGCCATGGCAGGCAGCTCTTCCAGAGCTCAATGCCTGGAGCTCTGGGTATGTGCATAGAAAGGGGGTAGATACAAGGTCCTTCCTTTATTTGAGTGACTAGTGGCAAAAGGAGGTGATACTTGTTTCCCTGCTTTCACCTCAGAAGTCCCAAAGGAAGGAAATCCATTGTGGAAAAAATAAATAATCTGTGTGCTTTGTGAGGGTAGGTGCTCTGTATTCTTGTAAGGATTTTGCATTAGTCTCTGAAACAAGATGCCTGGGACATTCAAAGAAATAACACCATCCTTCTGAAGTGTTGAACTTTAAGTTAAACAAACTTGTGGTTTCTTCTGAGACCTCTAGCCGTCCGTGTCACAATGACGCAGTTCAGAAGACAATGCTTTTGAAGGACATTTTTAATGGCAAACTTTAAATGAAGTCAATCCTTGGTAGCTCCGTGACAATGCCTGTGTGTTATTGTCCTTTTCTGACTTAACAAGAACAAAAAAAGAACCAGTTAGTCACATATGATGGGACGTGATGACATTTTTACTCCTGAACTTTTCTGGTATAAAAGGGTCACCCAAGGAAGATCTGACAGTAAGTGTGAGGAATTTGGCAATAAAACCACCGATCTGCAGAGATTTCCGAAAACCCAAAATGATTAGGTAAAAGACTGCTTTTTTCCACAAAGAAAAATGTTGAATTTGTATATGCTTTTTTACATTTGTACTTGCCTAAATGAAACTAATCTTAAGGTTTGTTTCCTCTTATCCTACAGCTCATTAAAATTCAGTCTTATTCTACTTCTGTTGATTTCTACAATGCATGTGTTCTGGTCTTATCCCGTTCCACCTTCTAAGGTAAGAGTTTGCCTCTATTTTGATGCTTGACTAGGTGGCTTATAAGTGTTTAAATTCGAAAATAATCTTAAGGAATATGTGACAGAAAAGTAATTTCTCATTAGTAGAGTTTTCAATGAAAAAAATACAAGTAGAGTCACGAAATTAGTAAAAAGAAGCATTTATGTGACAATAAATAATGCTAGACTTATTCAAATTTGTTTGGGCTCCTGCATAGAAAAGCATTCATTTCAATTTAAAATGTACGTAGTTTTGCCCACAACAATTTATTTATTCCACATGTGTTCACCGAGGATCAAAGTGAACATTTAACCATTGAAACTGCATTACAAATACAATGGTTCATTTGTTTTAAATAGTGAATTTACTAATTTTATAAAAATGGTAACTTTTTCAGATATAGAGCATAGATAATACATCAGAAATCAATGAAATGTCATATGATATATTAATTCATATATTTATTCAAGAATATTGACTGAGCTTCCAACTTTAATCATTGAACTGTTCAAAACCTTGAGAAAATGAACATCTTTCTTTGGCATTTTGAATAGTATTTCGACATGATATTTCAGTTGTTTTAATGTCAATACATTGTTTAAAATTTCAAACATTATTTTGTTGCCTAATACGTTTTGTGTTCATTGAAACTTAACCTGGCATACTGTAATTACTGAATCAATGTAATTCATGAAACTATTTTTAGGATAATGAGATGCTACATAAATCCTAAATAATAGATAAATGTCCAAACATAATGCTCTAGCTGTTTATATTATTGGTCTTCTCACTAATCTTTGCATCTGTCATTTTTCTATTTCTTGTTTACTTAAGCCAGCTTCTTTTTCCTGATTTAGTCCTATGAGCATTCAACACTAATTGAGTCATTGATTCTATAAGACACCAACCATATTGATCAGGTTGGTGAGTCACAACCCATAAATTGGTATATTTTCTCAAGTGTCTTCCTAATTACTTTTTATTCTTTTCCCCAAGGTTTGTTCATGACATTTCTGTTGAACAAGAGGCATTTGTGTGTGGCTTTTTTTTTTTTAAATTAAGAATGTGCTTTCTTCTAATGTACTTACAAATCTGCTTGTCCATAAATGAAATGTTTCTTCTTTCAGTATTTTCCATATTTCTGTTTTTGCATGTGACAATTCCGTTCTCATTATAACTCCATCGTGTAGCAATGGTACCAATTTGACTGTTTAAAGTGAGTAATCATGCAGAGAAATGATATATAGGCTTTTGTAATATTTGTTGTGAACTTCACAAAGTCCATCAACTAAGCAAGTATACCATATTATTCTGTTAATAAGTCAGCTCTGGCAAGGACTCCCTTCAATGATCAGCAAAGTATATCGGTATCTTTTTAAGGGATGTTTTCAGGATCCCATAACCAGAACTGATGCATTTCTTTTTCAATATAAAGGTGGCATCATGAATATTTCTGTAAAGAACTGGAATGCTTCCTTTTCTGAAATGATTCATAGACCCCTCCTTGCTGGGGATTTAAAATAGATGACATTATATTGTGCTTAGATTTCTTCCATTAACACAGGGGAAAACACATAGTGAGCATTCAAATAAGAGTTTTTGATTGATTTTCTCATGACCAATATTTCTGAAACCCTGTCAGACTATCCCTGGGTCCAAAAAAGAAAAAAAAAATCTTTTTTTTCAGAAGCCAATGGGAATGGTTTGCCTGGGAGCAGACTGCTGGAAATTTCAGTAAACCACCAAGTCATAGATGAAGATCCCAGAGAGCATTCTTTACCCCCACTCTGTCCCCATTTCAACTTCTGAAGTTACCTGAAACCACACTTGGTTTACTGCACCAAGAAAGGATAATGTGTAATTTTCACTTTGTAGTATGTTTCTTTCTTTATAATAAGACCATTCAGCCACTCTTTCCTCTTTTAAAAAAATGTTTGTTTTTACAGAGAGAGAGAGAGAAAGAGCACAATTGGGAGAGGGGCAGAGAGAGAGAGAGAGAGAGAGAGCAAGCAGGGGAAGGACAGAGAGAGGGAGAGAAAGAGAATCCCAAGCAGGCTATGTGCTAGCACACAGCCTGATGTAGGGCTTGATCCCACGAACCATGAGATCATGACCTGAGTCAGTATCAAGAGTCAGATGCTCAACTGACTGAGCCACCCAGGTGGCCCAGCCCCTTTTCGTCTTATTGTTCTCGTGTGGTTGAGAAACATGGACTTGGAGTCAGATGCTTCCATTCAAATCCCTGCTTCACCTACGAAGTATTTAATCTCCTCATGTAAAACTTAGCAATAATAATACCTACTTCACACACAGAGCTTTCTGAGGGGATAAAATGAAATGAAGCACATAAAACATTTACCACAAAGAAGATCACGGATGAATCTTTGCTCCATTTATTGATGGGATTTGCAGTGGTGCCTCATCAACATTGTACGTCCTCTGAAATCCCTCTTTTGTGATTGACAAGTATTGAAAATGCTTACTCGATCCCTGGGTCAGGCCCACTTCCTGGAACTGCCCAGCCCTGTTTCTTGGGACATGCCCTTTGCTCTTTACTTGGTTTCTTCATCTAGAAAGTGTGAGGTTGAACTGCAGATTCTCAATGGCCAATGTGAGCTCTAAGATTCCACGTGTATATTTCTTTTGAGACGAAGTGCCCCCTACACTATCCAGGTCTTTGAGCCACTGATGAGGAGCTGAGCCAAAGTCAAAAGATGAAGATCCCATTGTTCAAGTAGCAAGATATCCTGATGGAGAATCTTGGCAAATGGCCCAGGACAAAGCACAGAAAGGAAGTGTTTCCCACTGAACCCCGAAGTTTGGTTATCATGTGTCGTTTTTCTTAGTGAATTTAAAAAACTTGCCAGGACTCATTAGTGCCAAGTGAAAGATTCTTTATAAAGTAATAGCAACCAGATAACTACATATGGTGTATGATGCAAAGACTGGGTAACAGCAATTACATAAGGGTATAAAAATTAGACAAGAGCTCTGAATAATATTTTGTATCTAGATAAATTGTCTATTGTGTTCTGGCAAAATTTCCCTCAGAAATGTTGGAGTCATTGGATTTACTGCCTTCACGTTTTGAAAATTTTTACTATTGAAATAAACTTTTAACCCTAAAGCTGTGTTCTCTCCCTCCTCCCCCATCTGAATTGCCAGGTGCCTGGAAAATCTGATTACTTTCTCATCCTGCTGAACAGCTGCCCAACCAGGATGGACAGGAGCGAGGCACTAGATTTTCTAAAGCCAATTTTGGAGAAGACATTCATGAAAAGGTCCTTTCGCAATGGAGTTGGAACAGGGATGAAAAAAACTTCCTTTCAAAGAGCAAAATCATGAATAAGTGTGCAAAGGACTCTGGGAATTAATCTCAAACTTTGTAGAGTGTGACTGATGTGCAAAAGTCAGTTGTATCTTTATCATTAAGTGTTGGTGCGCTCTCAATTCTTAAATATCATTTTTCTCTGAGCTGGTACAGAGTAAATTGAGTTTGAAAAACAGGTAAACCTGCCCCAAACTTCCACAGCAAGAGAATAAACTATTTATGTGATCAGTTAGCAACTTCCCTGACTAAGGATGGGCACATTTGCTTTGATCTTAAATTGGCCAGAAAGTACGAGCAGTTTTCCTGTAATGACAATGGTATGATTTTTTTCCTGCCTGTAATACTGTATATCAGAATACTGATTCTTTTTTTCTTTTAAATACGGCTTTCTGAAATGACTAAGAAGAACCAATTCTTCTGGGATGTGTGATTTCAGTTTCTCAGAGAGTCTTGTGAGATCACCCAAAGTTGAGATTCATGCTACCACTGTGTTTTCTTCCATCAATTCACTGATACCAGAAATAAACATCAGCTGTGCCCTCTGGGTGTAACCCTTGCTGTTCTTTCCATCAGATATACTTGGACGTGGATTGTTGTTTTGTCTTGGAAGTTTGTTGTTTCCTTTTATCTTAAAACACAGAAATAGTGCCAGCAACAGTAATGACAATACAGGAACTGCTAGTTGCCCTGTGGTGTGTGGGGGGAGGGGGTCCTTTGTGAATCGGTTCCTCCAAATTGTGCCGATTAACACCCCACTCCTTTCCTTTCCAGGAAAGACCTGGACCCTCCTTCCACTGTAACTCCTGACATTACTCGTTTTAAAAGGATAATGTAACATTGGTTGGCGTGTTATTTCTTCAGAGGCCCAACTTTAATAAATGTTTACATGCCTATTTGATTCTGCAGTACACTAAGGGCATTCTGACCAAGAAAATCATTATGTTTTCCACTTCACTCTATGTGTATAGACACAGATGAGGTGAAAAAGTCCTCGTGCACTTTAAAATGGACTAGGGACCCTCATATCCTTTTGCTTCCTATCCCTGTGGTCCTGGCCTTTGTTCCCATGGGGACAGCTTTAGAAATCTAACCAGCTGGCTAGTAACAGCTCAGCCCTCCATGCCCTCCATGACCAAACTTCTTTCAGGGCATCTGGAATGCAGCAAAAGAATTTATCTATTAGTAATGTCCTGTCTGCTCACAAGCACTGCGGCACCATAAGGCCTAATGGGTGAGATGCAGAGTGCTTCCAATAAACTGGAAAATCTAACAGCAGATTGTCAAAGAAACTAGTATTTTTTTTTAAATCTGCCTAGCATTATTGGCAGGGAGGCTAATTAACTAACTCAATAGGTGTTATTTACTGCTTCGAAGTTGAAAAATAGTTCCTGCACTAATATGCTCATGGCAAGGGTGGTGTCGATTGGGCATCTTATGTAGGGAAGACATTGTTGTTGCAAGGAACCTTCCTTATTTCCTATTTGCATTTATATGGATTGGTTGGAGTAATAAAACACTAAAAACATAATTGGAAAAATTCTTTTCCCACTTCTGGATCTAAAATATCATTGTAACCTCAGGGGGAAAAAGGCCTATGAAAAAGTATTTGCACTCTAAAAACTATAGCAGAGGAAAAGCTGGCAGCAGGGAAATTTACCTTCTGAGAAGAAATTGTACCTTTTGGTAAGATGTTAGGAATAAAGTGTTTAAGATGAAAAATACCTCCAAGTCGTATTTGGATAGTGTCATTAGAGAGGTGACCAAAGCCTAACCATGTAAACCTTTGGGAAAGTGAACCCGAAGCCAGTGTAGGAGCCAAGTGGCCAGTGGACTGTATTCAGTAACTGGTATCAGTTTCTGCAGAGCCCTGAGCCCACTTGCTCTCAAGGCTGCAGCATGGAGAAAGGCCTAGGGTGATGGGAGGTGGTGAGGAGCTGATTACCAGATGCTAATGACCCTTTGCCCTTTCCCATGTCCTGGTGGGGGAGGGGATTGTTGAAGGAGGACTGAATTTCACCTTTAGAGCCAGCTGCCTTAGGCAAGGCCTTGGAAGCCTTCAGAATGCAAATATCCCAAGGGAGGAATAATGTGAGGAGTTAATTTTGGTCAACCATACCTCAACCTGTTAAGTTTCATGCTTATCTGGAGAGATTTTTCTAAAAGAGAAGGAAAAGAAACCATGAGGGCCATGGGCACCTGAGGGGAGAATTCTGGGGTGGAGAAAGTGCATACAAAGCAGGACTGGGCAAGCAGGAGGCCACAGACCCCTGGGCCACATGGACCTGCTTGGATCTCAGTGCCACTGTTTGCTCAGTTTCATGACCTTGCTCAAGCTTCTAGAATCTTTCTGAGCCCAAGTTTCATCAGCTATGAAATAGGGTTAGTATGACTGACCTTGTGGGATTGTTCATTTGCTCATTAATTTGCCGATTCGTTCACTTGACAAATATTTTTTGAGCACCTAGTATATCCAGAGAGAGTATTCTAGGCAACGGGAATGAAATCATTAAGAAAACAGACCAAATTCCTGCTCTTATTGATATTTCATTGGGGTTAGAAGGGAGTTGGAAAAAAACAAGATTATAGATGTTAGATGGTGATAAATGATAAGGAGAAACAACAAGAAACAGGGAGAAGGACTGTGGAGGGGTAGGAATGTGGATGTAATTTCAGATACTGCTGTCAGAGAAGTTGCTGAGAATGATTAGTAAGAATTCCAAGATTTCTCCAGTGGAGTGATCAGGGCAAGGGTGAAAAGGATGGAACCAGACAAGTAGGGGATTTATGCAGGGTCTTGTCAGAACTTTTGCTTTTCCTCTGAATGACATGGGAAGCCCCTCAAGAGTTTTGAGCAGAGAAATGACATTATCAAATATATCTTTTAGCCTTCATTAATTTGTAAGAGTCAGAAACAAATACATACCTAGTAGGTCTCCATACTAGCAGCCGCCAATTCTTTCTGTGATTGACATTTAGGAACTAGGATTCCCTTCTTTCCCTGCCTGTTTCACAATTCTACCCTGGGAAATAATTACGCTGTCAGTTGGAGCCTGTGGTTGGGTAAGGACCCTGGGAAGGGAGAGCTGTCACTCTCCAAGGTACTGAAAGAATCTGCATGAGAGATCAGATTCTCATCCAGCAACTAAAACTTGTCCTGAAGGTGAAACTCCACTGGATTCTCTTTTATGCAAGGATGAGGATCATCTTGTTCTTAAAAACGTTTATTGAGATTTCCATAGAAGCATCCCGAATTTTGGAAGAAGGATGCATGAGTATGTGAATCTGCGGGTAGAAAACCCATGCAAAGAAATACAAGAATTAAGATTGCAACTCACACACATGAATTTTAGGGTGCTCATCTCATTACCTTTCTCCTGGCAATTTATTTCTAATGCAGAAACATTAAAAACCAAACAATGATGTCTGCTACAAAATTTCCACTCCAAACACTTAGCCTCATTCACTTTTGAGCCTTCCCAGGAAGGAGCAATATTTTAGGGAACGGAAATACAAAAACAATTGGATTTCAGTTCTCACATAGAGTAAGACCCAGAACACAGCAACTTGACTCAGCGTCACATTTTTTTCATGTTTATTTATTTATTTTGAGAGAGAGGGAGAGAGACAGAGAGAGTGCATGAGCTCGGGAGGGCAGAGAGAGAGGGAAAGAGTGAAGCCCAAGCAAGCTCTGCACTGTCAGTGCAGAGCCTGACTCGGGACTCGATCTCACCAACCATGAGATCGTGATCTCAGCCAAAATCAAGAGTTGGATGCTTAACCGTCTAAGCCACCCGGGCATCCCTCAAAGTCACATTTCTACACTCAATGTTCTCAACTCTTTTGGGCCTGTCAGACAATAACAGGCAAAAAAGAAACATCCAGGTGGCTCCTCTCTGTTCCTTCCCTCTGGACTCATTTCTCTCTGCTAATATTCATGTGGACTCACCTGTTAAGAGTAGAGGTGGGTTTCATTGTCAATGGAAAATTCTCACCTTACTTCCTCTCTGTGGAGGAAAGATTGTCTTCTGGGTGGCCTGGCAGCAACTCTGAGCTGCCTGGGATTAACTGTGTGGTCCGTGTCTCCTCCTTTTCATGAGTGCTGTGCACACTTTCAACTCTCCCCATCTGGGGTCTGAAGCTTTCCTGAACAGCTGACACCCTGGGTCAGTCTGTTTCTCCCTGGATAACAAATCCATTCTCCTGCTCGCCCTACAAAAAGTGAGACAGCTGGCAGGATCTCTCTCCTGGAGCCCAAACTGTGGTGGATCCAGCCACACAGGTGCAAGACGCCTCTCCATGGGATAACAAAGACCCACACCAGGTCCTGCAGGCATGGTCCTGCTGCTGGGCCTGCTGTTCCTGAGCTCCACTTTCCATGGTGTGGTGTTGGAACTGAGTGTGGGCCTTTTGGCTGACACCTTCCTGGCTGACCTCTGCCTATCAACTGTTAAAGGTCTAGCTGAAGTAAACTTGCAAAGAATCAAACCTAAAGACATCTTTACTAAGTTGGACTCAATGTGTGGTTACAAATAGACTCCTCCACAGTAATAAACAAACTCCCACTCACCAGGTTTGGGGCTTTGTGCCAAGTGCTTTCCACACACTGTCGCATTTACACTCTCCGTGGCCCTGTGGGAAGACACTGGGATGTCGTTATTCCCATATATAGACAAGAGAACTGAAGCTTAGACTAATCCAGTTTTCTTTTTCATGGAGGATCAAGGTCAAATATCTGGTCATTAGGGCAGGTTTGCATTGCCCAGAGTATAATGTCAGGCGAAGAATGGAATGAAAAGAAAAAAGAAATCAGAGAAGGTATATGTCATTATTATTTTATGTGTCAACTTGACTGGGCTATGGGGTGCCTCTTAACTTGGCTATACTTTATTTCTGGGAGTGTATGTGAGCTTGTTTCTGGATGAGATTAGCATTTGAATCCCCAGACTAAGTAAAACAGATTGCCCTCCCCAAGGTAGGTGGGTTTCATCGACACCGTTGAAACCCTGAAAGATTA